AACGACAAAAAAAATTCAAAAAACTTATTATTCTATTGATTTTTTTTCGTAAAAATAACAAAAAAAAAAAAAGTGAAAATGAAAATGAAAATGAAAGCAAGAGAAAAAAGGAAAAAAAAAAATTTAAAATATATTTGCCAAGATAAATAATATCTTGTATAAATAAAAACGACTTGTTCATGAAAAAAGATTTTCGTAAAAAAAAAATAATGCAAATTCGGATAATGAAAAATTTAAATTGAAAAAAAAAAATTAACTAATTACAAATGAGAAAAGATTTATATTACAATTAAAAAAAATATTTTTTTTTTATCATGCTAAAAAAAAGCAAGAAAAAAAAAGGAAAAAAAAAAAAAATTCGAAAGTTGGACATATAATCAACTCATTATGCTAACATAATGATTGGTTAAATCGACAGCTGGAGAAAATTCATTTCGTTGTTGACCACTTCCACCACTCCTCATGAAATGAGAATTATTATTTAATCCAGTATCTTGTTGAAACATAGAATGTTGTTGAGCAGATGTCAAAGGGGGATCCAAAGTATGAATTGGAGGTAACACCATTTGTTCGGAAATTATTGACCGTACAGGTGGCAAAGTTGGATTTTTGTCAGACGGAACAGCATTTTGATGATTGGCACCAAAGTTATAACCGTTAACAGTTGTTGAAGTTGGAGTAGTTAACGGAGTTGGAGGCAATATCAAAGCTGTCGATGATGTTGTATTATTCGTATTACAAGTAATTTTGTTGATGATGATGTTGTCGTTTTTGTCGTTATTGTCATTACTGTCGTTCATTATGGCATTATTAATCATTCGTCTCATTCTTTTTGAATGGTTCTCCTGCAAAGTGGATGCGTTACGCATAGGTTGATGATGTAAAGGATTACCGACCTTGGAACCTCTGCGACTTTTCGCAGATAAATGAGTACGATAATGCTGCATCATATTATCTTGTCTTGAAAATTTTGACGCACATCCTGGCATCAAACATGAGAAGTTCTTCTCACCCGTATGTATTCGATTATGTCTAGCCAAATGACCGCTGTTTTTTTTTTTCAGATCGGAGGGATTGTCGGTTAGAAATGTTTGAACAAAAACGAATAATAAACATCATCTAAATTTGAAATTATTAAGTAATTATGATCGAACCAATTACGTACCTCGTAGTAAAACTCTTACCACAATTTGGATGAATACAAGCGTACTTTCTCTTATTGCCAGTTGCCAAATTAGTAGTAGCGTTACTCAACCCACGTTGTTTATGACGTTGCACGAGCATCTCGTCCGTGATTGATTGCTTCCGTCCAGCTGAGGAATCCTCTTGATTGTGAACCCAAGAAGGATCCACGTCCATGCTTGTGAAGGCCACAGTATTAAAATCATCCTCATCATTTAACAGACTAACCACGGCACCATCCGATTTTTTCACGAGCAAAGTGGAACTTCTCCTTTTCACCGTACGATTATGACCAGTAGGGGTTAACGGTGGTGTGGGACCAGAGGACCTCTGCTGAGCATCAAAATATTTGTCTTGAGAGGATTGGTGAAAATTAACAGAGGATTGTAAGACAGGTAAGGTATAAGAGGAAGTGTTCGTGGGTTGTTGACGGAAAGCGGTCTGTCTCGTCGGAGAAGGAGAAGAAGGGAACATTGGTAAATAATGATGATGTTGGGGTGTGTCAGGATATAAAACGATATCATGCTGTGGTGTCATTTGTTGTTGTGACGAAGATCTTTGATGATGAAAATAATCATCCGATGGCGAATATCGACGCGAGGAAGAGACGGGCAATTTTAATGACGGGGCGTACTGCTGTTGGGAGAGGTCTTGCGGTGCGCTCGATTGATGAGAAGGAAACGACGAATGATTATTCGTGGGCGATGATCCAATGGGTTTATTATGTATATCATAAATCATTAATGGATTATTATTATTATAAGTAGACATTTGTTCTTGTTCTCGTGTGGGGGGTTGAGATTGAATATTTTCTTGTCGTC